GCCAGCACCCTATGACAAAATGGAACCCACCAGCAGTGTGAGGAGACCTGAAAGTGGCACATGGCAGAGTGTGGCGATGGAGACAGCAGCAGCAATGGGAGGCCGTACAGGGACCCATGACACACTCTGGACCTGGCAGCAGCATGAGGAGGCGGTACAGGGGCCCATGGCAGATTACGGGCCTGGCAGCAGCAATGGGAGGCCCGTAATCTGCCAGCACCCTATGACAAAATGGAACCCACCAGCAGTGTGAGGAGACCTGAAAGTGGCACATGGCAGAGTGTGGCGATGGAGACAGCAGCAATGGGAGGCCGTACAGGGACCCATGACAGATTACGGGCCTTTCAGCAGCATGAGGAGGCGGTACAGGGGCCCATGACAGATTATGGGCCTGGCAGCAGCAATGGGAGGCCCGTAATCTGCCAGCACCCTATGACAAAATGGAACCCACCAGCAGTGTGAGGAGACCTGAAAGTGGCACATGGCAGAGTGTGGCAATGGAGACAGCAGCAATTGGAGGAAGTACAGGGACCCATGACAGATTACGGGCCTGGCAGCAGCATGAGGAGGCGGTACAGGGGCCCATGACAGATTACGGACCTGGCAGCAGCAATGGGAGGCCCGTAATCTGTCAGCACCCTATGACAAATTGGAACCCACCAGCAGTGTGAGGAGACCTGAAAGTGGCACATGGCAGAGTGTGGCGATGGAGACAGCAGCAATGGGAGGCCGTACAGGGACCCATGACACACTCTGGACCTGGCAGCAGAATGAGGAGGCGTTACAGGGGCCCATGGCAGATTACGGGCCTGGCAGCAGCAATGGGAGGCCCGTAATCTGCCAGCACCCTATGACAAAATGGAACCCACCAGCAGTGTGAGGAGACCTGAAAGTGGCACATGGCAGAGTGTGGCGATGGAGACAGCAGCAATGGGAGGCCGTACAGGGACCCATGACAGATTACGGGCCTGGCAGCAGCATGAGGAGGCGGTACAGGGGCCCATGACAGATTACGGGCCTGGCAGCAGCAATGGGAGGCCCGTAATCTGCCAGCACCCTATGACAAAATGGAACCCACCAGCAGTGTGAGGAGACCTGAAAGTGGCACATGGCAGAGTGTGGCGATGGAGACATGGGCCCCCTGGCCACGCTTGACTTTCTGGCCACATAGTCGACATACGGCTACGTTTACTTCCTCGGGCGGCTTGACGAAAAATTGCCACACCGCCGCGTAGGAAACTTTGCCCCCGCTACTCCTCACTGGCTGACTGCTACTTCCTCCGTGCACACCGGCACCACTACTGGCCGTGGTGGTAGGCTGCAGTGGAGCTGGTGCTCTACTCCGTGGCCGTTTGCCTCCACTGACACTGCTGCGACCCTGCTGCCTCCTGGGCAACCCACCGACTGTGTTTGCTTGCTGGCAAGCTGGCACCCTCTTCTCCTGATGATGCGGAAGCAATAGCCTGATGACGACGAGGCTGCCAAGTGCGATCAGCCTCATCATCATCAATTAGGGTCTCCGCCTCACTACTAGCCCCCTCGGCTGCGTGTGGGTCAGGAGACAGACCTGTCTCTAGACCGGCTACCGAGCCACTCTCCTCGCCAGTACTTCTTCGCCTGGCTGCTGAAGAGGCGGATGTCTCCCCCCGTTCCTGACCGCCCTCTGTTAGCTCTTCCTCACTGTACAGTGGGGCTGAGCCCACAGCATGCGATACTTCGCTTGGTGAGGGAACACCAAAGGACAGGGGCAGGTAGAGGACACGTGATTTCAGTGGGCTTGCTCCCGGGCCATGCCAACTAACGGTTGTGTCTGACGTACCCACCGACCGTTGGCTGTAGGTGTCAGAGGTGACCTGGGAAGAGGAAGACGACCGAGTCAACCAATCGATGACGGCAGGGTTGTCGGTGGAGACACGACCGCTGGATGACACCGGGAGCACTGGCCTCTGGCTGCGACTAGTGCTGCCTCGACCCCTTCCTCTGCTGCCACGTCTGCTAACTCCTGAAACATTGCCTCCTCTGCCACTCCTCTGCGTGTTGTCTGACATACTCTTTAATTCAATAAGCACCCCAAACATAAAACAGGATTTAACTCTTTGAACGTACAATAGTGGATGTTAAGCAGAAAGTAACGATTCTGTGTCCCTGAGTAACAATTCTGTGTCCCTGAGTAACGATTCTGTGTCCCAGAGTAACGATCCTGTGTCCCTGAGTAACAATTCTGTGTCCCTGAGTAACGATTCTGTGTCCCTGAGTAATGATTCTCTGTCCCTGAGTAACAATTCTGTGTCCCTGAGTAACGATTCTGTGTCCCTCAGTAACAATTCTGCGTCCCTGAGTAACAATTCTGTGTCCCTGAGTAACAATTCTGTGTCCCTGAGTAACGATTCTGTGTCCCTGAGTAACGATTCTGTGTCCCTCAGTAACAATTCTGTGTCCCTGAGTAATTATTCTGTGTCCCTGAGTAACAATTCTGTGTCCCTGAGTAACAATTCTGTGTCCCTCAGTAACGATTCTGTGTCCCTCAGTAACGATTTTGTGTCCCTGAGTAACAATTCTGTGTCCCTGAGTAACAATTCTATGTCCCTGAGTAACGATTCTGTGTCCCTGAGTAACGATTCTGTGTCCCTCAGTAACAATTCTGTGTCCCTGAGTAACAATTCTGTGTCCCTGAGTAACAATTCTGTGTCCCTGAGTAACGATTCTGTGTCCCTGAGTATCGATTCTGTGTCCCTGAGTAACGATTCTGTGTCCCTGAGTAACAATTCTGTGTCCCTGAGTAACAATTATGTGTCTGTCCCTGAGTAACGATTCTGTGTCCCTGAGTAACAATTCTGTGACCCTGAGTAACAATTCTGTGTCCCTGAGTAACGATTCTGTGTCCCTGAGTAACGATTCTGTGGCCCTAAAGTCTCTGTGGCCCTAACTCTGTCCCTAATACAGACAGGTCTGTCTCTCTTGAATGACCGGAGGCTAATGGAGAATTCTAAGATGGCCGCAATTTATAGCTCCACCATTACACAGTGCTGGCTGGCTGGCTGGCTGCTGATTGGCTAATGCGATCACATGTCATGAATGAATGCATTATGGGTCAGCGCGCCTTGTCTGCGCGCCTTCCCAGAGATCCCGCGCTCCGTCGCCACACATGTCGCCGCCATTTTTGGAAAAATTCGATTCGTGCATCCGAAGTTTGCTAATTTTCGGATTCGGCGCGAATCGAATTTTTCCTAATCTTCGAAACGAATTCCACTTCGTCATGTTCGATTCGCTCATCTCTAGTTGTTTCCATTTATTATTTTTTACTTTGGCCAATTGTGTCCACTGCTTGCATACTCATCCGCGGTGATCTGATCTGTGGTGCCTTTTTTATTGTTGTTTTGTTAACCATTTGAATACCCGGCAATTTTACACCTTCCTGCCCAGGCCATTTTTCAGGTCTCAGCGCTCTCACACTTTGAATGACAATTGCACGGTCATACAACATTGTACCCAAACTAAAATTTTATCATTTTCTTCACAAAACTAGAGCTTTCTTTTGGTGGTATTTAATCACCTCTGGGGTTTTTTATTTTTTGCTAAATTAACCAAAAATGACCAAAATTTCTGAAAAAAAACACACATTTTTCTTTGTTTCTGTTATAAAAGTTGCAAATAAATAATTGTTCTTCATAAATTTAGGCCAAGATGTATTCTGCTACATGTCTTTGGTGAAAATAACCCAAATTAGGATGTATTATTTAGTCTGTAGGAAAGTTATAGAGTTCACAAACTATGGTATAGATCTGAATATTGATCAATCCTGAAGTACTAACAGCCAATCTAATTTCTTGAGGTCCAAGAATGTCACAACAGTACAGATATCCCCCAAATGAACCCTTTTTGCAAAGTAGACAGTCCAAGGTACTTCATAAGAGGCATGGCGAGTTTTTTGAAGTTGTATTTTTTTTGTCATAATTTTTTGGAAAATGAAAAACTAAAAAAAATTTGTTTCACTCTTTTTTTTTTTTACTGTTTCACCAGTGCATTACAGCGTCATCATATAACTGGCATGGCGGTGATCAGGGACACTGACTGGTGACAGTATGAAAAAAAAAAATATATATATTTTTTTTTATATATATTTTTTTTTATATTATTAATTTTTTTCAATTTTTTAAGATTTTTTTTTTCATATTTTACTATGACCAAAGTAGTACAATATTACCATAGTAACATTGTACTACTTTTAGGAAGTGATCAGTATTTTTTTTTACACAATTTGCTTACAGCAAAGAATTACTTTGCTATAAGCAAGCATTTACCTGAATGACATCGATTCATTCAGGGGGGGGGGGTTTTTTTTGTGCTTAGCTGTGATTTGACCACAGCTAATCACATGACATGTGCATGTGATTAGCTGTGACCATTCACAGCTATACACTAGTATACAATGGATAGCATGAATGAAGCCATCCATTGTATACAACTGTCAAGTGACCTGCTGTGATTGTTCATAGCAGGTCACATGGTACCGGCAACGGGGGCCGATACTCAGATCTGTCATCGGCCATGTCCGAGGTACACGGCCGGTGACAGATCTGCGCGGCTCTGCTGGAGCGCAATCTGCGCATGTGCGGGAGGACGCCATATGGTGTCCACCCGGAACGCTGATGACATTTGCCGGCCGCCATTCGGCCATAGGGCAAGCGGCAAATGGTTAAAGGGTGTCTCAGGACCGTCCATCATTTTAAAGGGTGCCTTGGGACTGTCCATCATTTTAAAGGGTGGGTCGGGACTGTCCATCATTTTAAAGGGTTTCTCGGGACTGTCCATCATTTTAAAGGGTGCCTCAGAACCGTCCATAATTTTAAAGGGTGTCTCGGGACAGTCCATAATTTTAGAGGGTGATTCGGGACTGTCCATAATTTTAAAGGGTGCCTAGGGACTGTCCATAATTTTAAAGGGTGCCTCGGGACAGTCCATCATTTTAAAGGGTGTTTCGGGACCGTCCATCATTTTAAAGGGTGCCTTCGGACTGTCTGTATTTTAAAGGGTGCCTCGGGACTGTCCATCATTTTAAAGGGTTTCTCGGAACTGTCCATCATTTTAAAGGGTGCCTCAGAACCGTCCATAATTTTAAAGGGTGCCTCGGGACAGTCCATCATTTTAGAGGGTGCTCGGAATTGTCCATCACTTTACAGGGTGTCTTGGGACCGTCCATCATTTTAAAGGGTGTCTCGGAACAGTCCATCATTTTAAAGGGTGCCTTGGGACTGTCCATAATTTTAAAAGGTCGCCTTGGGACTGTCCATCATTTTAAAAGGTGTCTCTGGACCGTCCATCATTTTAAAGGGTGCCTCGGGACCGCCCATCATTTTAAAGGGTGCCTCGGGACTGTTCATCATTTTAAAGGGTGCCTCGGGACTGTCCATCATTTTAACGGGTGCCTTGCGACAGTCCATAATTTTAGAGGCTGCTCGGAACTGTCCATCATTTTAAAGGGTGTCTCGGGACTGTCCATCATTTTAAAGGGTTTCTCGGGACCGTCCATCATTTTAAAGGGTGCCTCAGGACAGTCCATCATTTTAAAGGGTGACTCGGGACCGTCCATAATTTTAGAGGGTGACTCGGTACTGTCCAGAATTTTAAAGGGCGCCTCGGGACAGTCCATCATTTTAAAGGGTGTCTCAGGACCACCCATAATTTTAGAGGGTGACTCGGGACTGTCCATCATTTTAAAGGGTGCCTGGGGACTGTCCATAATTTTAAAGAGTGCCTTGGGACTGTTGGTAGTTTTAGAGGGTGGCTTGACTGAAAAAAGATTGAGAAACACAGCCCTGGAAAGTGCACCAAGGACCATTATTTTCCCCCAAATAAAATAGGCTAATCATAAAAAAAAGTAATAAAGAAGAAAACACAGTGCATGCAATATTTTAATATTTTTTAATCAGACATTTAGCATTTAGCTAAATGATATTTCACATCAAATGGCTTCCAGTTCATGGCTTAACAGGTTCCAGAAACTTTGCAAGACACTGAATTCAGCAAGCCCGTGGCTGCACCCTTGAGAGCACTTATGCCAAATTTCTTGATTGTGTCCAAAACACCTCTTTTTACTTCTTCATCTACAACGTCCTCTTCCTCTTCATCTGCACCTCTCCTGGAAGAAGACACAGTTATCGTTACATAAAACAACATTGATTACAACATAAAAAAACTGTATTTCCCTGGGAACAAAAAGGGTTATTTTTTTGGACATTATAAAAATAATAATAATAATGATAATAATAATAATAATAATAATAACATAAAAACAACGTGGATTATAACATCAAAAACATATTTCACTGGGAACAAAAATGTGTATTTTTTTGGAAATAATAATACCATAAAACAACATTGATTATGACATAAAACAACTGTATTTCACTGGGAACAAAAATGCGTATTTTTTTTGGACATTATAAAAATAATAATAATAATAATAACAATAACAACATAAAACTACATTGATTATAACTAGAGATGAGCGAAGTATTCAAAAATTCGATTCGGCTGATTCGGCGAATTCGAGGAATAAATTCGATTCGAGGCGAATATATTCGCTGCGAATTTAACTTATAAAAGGGTGTTTCTAGGCTTCAGAGAGCCTTTATATTAGTGCAGAACACTGTACCTTTAATTTAAATGCCCTTGGAGTCTGCTGGGGAAGAGAAATAAAACTGTCAGTCAGTATGACATGCAGATGAGTGCCGTCGATCTTAGAATCACCGCACACTTAACTCATTTGGGCAGTCACGGGGCCAAAACCAGAGTGTGGAGCCACAGTGTGGCGGTGGAGGCAGCAGCAATAGGAGGCCATACAGCACCCTATGACAAAAATGGAACCCACCAGCAGTGTGAGGAGACCTGAAAGTGGCACATGGCAGAGTGTGGCAATGGAGACAGCAGAAATGGGAGGCCGTACAGGGACCCATGACACACTCTGGACCTGGCAGCAGCATGAGGAGGCGGTACAGGGGCCCATGACAGATTACGGGCCTGGCAGCAGCATGAGGAGTCGGTACGGGGGCCCATGGCAGATTACGGGCCTGGCAGCAGCAATGGGAGGCCATACAGCACCCTATGACAAAATGGAACCCACCAGCAGTGTGAGGAGACCTGAAAGTGGCACATGGCAGAGTGTGGCGATGGAGACAGCAGCAATGGGAGGCCGTACAGGGACCCATGACACACTCTGGACCTGGCAGCAGCATGAGGAGGCGGTACGGGGGCCCATGGCAGATTACGGGCCTGGCAGCAGCAATGAGAGGCCCGTAATCTGCCAGCACCCTATGACAAAATGGAACCCACCAGCAGTGTGAGGAGACCTGAAAGTGGCACATGGCAGAGTGTGGCGATGGAGACAGCAGCAATGGGAGGCCGTACAGGGACCCATGAGACACTCTGGACCTGGCAGCAGCATGAGGAGGCGGTACGGGGGCCCATGGCAGATTACGGGCCTGGCAGCAGCAATGGGAGGCCCGTAATCTGCCAGCACCCTATGACAAAATGGAACCCACCAGCAGTGTGAGGAGACCTGAAAGTGGCACATGGCAGAGTGTGGCGATGGAGACAGCAGCAATGGGAGGCCGTACAGGGACCCATGAGACACTCTGGACCTGGCAGCAGCATGAGGAGGCGGTACGGGGGCCCATGGCAGATTACCGGCCTGGCAGCAGCAATGGGAGGCCCGTAATCTGCCAGCACCCTATGACAAAATGGACAGCACCAGCAGTGTGAGGAGACCTGAAAGTGGCACATGGCAGAGTGTGGCGATGGAGACAGCAGCAATGGGAGGCCGTACAGGGACCCATGAGACACTGTGGACTGGCAGCAGCATGAGGAGGAGGCGGTACAGGGGCCCATGGCAGATTACAGGCCTGGCAGCAGCAATGGGAGGCCCGTAATCTGCCAGCACCCTATGACAAAATGGACAGCACCAGCAGTGTGAGGAGACCTGAAAGTGGCACATGGCAGAGTGTGGCGATGAAGACAGCAGCAATGGGAGGCCGTACAGGGACCCATGAGAGACTCTGGACCTGGCAGCAGCATGAGGAGGCGTTACGGGGGCCCATGGCAGATTACGGGCCTGGCAGCAGCAATGGGAGGCCCGTAATCTGCCAGCACCCTATGACAAAATGGAACCCACCAGCAGTGTGAGGAGACCTGAAAGTGGCACATGGCAGAGTGTGGCGATGGAGACAGCAGCAATGGGAGGCCGTACAGGGACCCATGAGACACTCTGGACCTGGCAGCAGCATGAGGAGGCGGTACGGGGGCCCATGGCAGATTACGGGCCTGGCAGCAGCAATGGGAGGCCCGTAATCTGCCAGCACCCTATGACAAAATGGAACCCACCAGCAGTGTGAGGAGACCTGAAAGTGGCACATGGCAGAGTGTGGCGATGGAGACAGCAGCAATGGGAGGCCGTACAGGGACCCATGAGACACTGTGGACCTGGCAGCAGCGTGAGGAGGCGGTACGGGGGCCCATGGCAGATTACAGGCCTGGCAGCAGCAATGGGAGGCCCGTAATCTGCCAGCACCCTATGACAAAATGGACTGCACCAGCAGTGTGAGGAGACCTGAAAGTGGCACATGGCAGAGTGTGGCGATGGAGACAGCAGCAATGGGAGGCCGTACAGGGACCCATGACACACTCTGGACCTGGCAGCAGCATGAGGAGGCGGTACAGGGGCCCATGGCAGATTACAGGCCTGGCAGCAGCAATGGGAGGCCCGTAATCTGCCAGCACCCTATGACAAAATGGACAGCACCAGCAGTGTGAGGAGACCTGAAAGTGGCACATGGCAGAGTGTGGCGATGGAGACAGCAGCAATGGGAGGCCGTACAGGGACCCATTAGACACTCTGGACCTGGCAGCAGCATGAGGATTCGGTACGGGGGCCCATGGCAGATTACGGGCCTGGCAGCAGCAATGGGAGGCCCGTAATCTGCCAGCACCCTATGACAAAATGGAACACACCAGCAGTGTGAGGAGACCTGAAAGTGGCACATGGCAGAGTGTGGCGATGAAGACAGCAGCAATGGGAGGCCGTACAGGGACCCATGAGAGATTCTGGACCTGGCAGCAGCATGAGGAGGCGTTACGGGGGCCCATGGCAGATTACGGGCCTGGCAGCAGCAATGGGAGGCCTGTAATCTGCCAGCACCCTATGACAAAATGGAACACACCAGCAGTGTGAGGAGACCTGAAAGTGGCACATGGCAGAGTGTGGCGATGGAGACAGCAGCAATGGGAGGCCGTACAGGGACCCATGAGAGACTCTGGACCTGGCAGCAGCATGAGGAGGCGGTACAGGGGCCCATGGCAGATTACGGGCCTGGCAGCGGCAATGGGAGGCCCGTAATCTGCCAGCACCCTATGACAAAATGGAACACACCAGCAGTGTGAGGAGACCTGAAAGTGGCACATGGCAGAGTGTGGCGATGGAGACATGGGCCCCCTGGCCACGCTTGACTTTCTGGCCACATAGTCAACATACGGCTACGTTTACTTCCTCGGGTGGCTTGACGAAAAATTGCCACACCGCCGAGTAGGAAACTTTGCCCCCGCTACTCCTCACTGGCTGACTGCTACTTCCTCCGTGCACACCGGCACCACTACTGGCCATGGTGGTAGGCTGCAGTGGAGCTGGTGCTCTACTCCGTGGCCGTTTGCCTCCACTGACACTGCTGCGACCCTGCTGCCTCCTGGGCAACCCACCGACTGTTTTGCTCGCTGCCAAGCTGGCACCCTCTTCTCCTGATGATGCGGAAGCAATAGCCTGATGACGATGAGGCTGCCAAGTGCGATCAGCCTCATCATCATCAATTAGGGTCTCCGCCTCACTACTAGCCCCCTCGGCTGCGTGTGGGTCAGGAGACAGACCTGTCTCTAGACCGGCTACCGAGCCACTCTCCTTGCCAGTACTTCTTCGCCTGGCTGCTGAAGAGGCGGATGTCTCCCCCCGTTCCTGACCGCCCTCTGTTAGCTCTTCCTCACTGTACAGTGGGGCTGAGCCCACAGCATGCGATACTTCGCTTGGTGAGGGAACAGCAAAGGACAGGGGCAGGTAGAGGACACGTGATTTCAGTGGGCTTGCTCCCGGGCCATGCCAACTAACGGTTGTGTCTGACGTACCCACCGACCGTTGGCTGTAGGTGTCAGAGGTGACCTGGGAAGAGGAAGACGACCGAGCCAACCAATCGATGACGGCAGGGTTGTGTCAGGATCCAGGTGTTCTGCGGCATCGCGTCGGGCGGCGGTAGGACCTGGCCGCGCATGGCAGCGGCGGGGTTCGCGCATGCGCACTCGGGATCACGGACGCGCGCCTGGCACCAATGACAGCGGGAGGCGGGCTATTTAAACGCAGGAACAGGTATGTTAGTTGCCGTTTGGTCTTGTATCC